AGCCTGCCCTAATCTCCCCATGTATATAAGCCGGCCTCTGCTGCCCTAGGGACCTCAGTTTCGACCTCTTGTCCCTAGGTCAGTAAGCTCCCCTTTGTATTCCTTTCTTACTTAACTAACTAATATACTATCTTGTCCCTAGCCTTAGGTTTGAGCGCTGCTCACCATCGCTTCGGTGAGATTTAGTCGGACGCCCCCAGCTTTCAGATCTTCCCCTGTCGCTTGACCTCAAGTCGCGACATTAGGTCGAAACTCTCCACAGCTGCCGGCGTCCCTCGGGACTCCCACAAACTCACATTCACTTCCTATAGGTTGGGTGGTGCGCACCCTTACTGTACCCTACGATACCTAGATAGCGTACTATACATCGCCACCACTTAGGGGACGAACTCTTCAGTACCTGCACTTCAGTGGGCGGTACTTGTCCTCACGGACGCGTGGCTTAGGTTCCTGCTGCATACTAGCCAAAAGCAGTACTGGGCCCCACGTGAACTGCGAACCCTAGTGTTACCTTGGGCGCCGTAGGTGTAAGCTAGCTAGCACGGCCTTTCGTAGCACGCGCACCTCCCCTTCCTCCCCCCATCAACGTGGCTGACGAATTCTTCGACTGCTCTCGACTTGAGCACGCCTTCGACACCCAGGATCAGGTCGACGTCTCTCGTGACGATCCAAAGAGCAGCGAAGACAGACCTCCTTTCTTCATCTGTGATCGGCAACCGTGCCCTAATCGCACTCCGCGGTCCATCACTGTTGACGAAGGGCACTTCGTACCAATCCGACGAGTCCAACACCCCAGAGGCCCTGCACTCCGGTACGCTGGCACCTCGAGATCTACATCTCGCCACGTCACTCCCGTCCCATCCCGACCTGCCTCGCCAGGCACCCGCATTCCCCAACCTGTCGCCAGTACAGGTCAAGCACGAGGAGATCCCCATCTCCCTCGAGGAACTGAGGCAGTCGCACAGCCTACAGCGACCCCTCAAGCGATCCCCCAGCCCTCCTTGGGGCCGCGGTTGGAAAGGCCTCCCAAGACCGAGCCCCGCGACACTCCGCCGCATTCTTGGGCCAGCTCGTCGTCAGCGGTCACCACCTCGACTTCAGTCCCTGTCCTACGTCACCCCGCCTCCGGGCTTCCTCAACCGGCTTCACCGCCGTTGCCGCCGCGAGGCCGCTCAAGCACTCGTTCCTCAGAGAAGTCCGCCCGGCGGACAGTCACAACAGTCGCCTTCGTCCGCGGGCAGTCCTTCGTCCCCCTCGTCGCCGATAATGTCCTCTCCTGCTGCAGTCCCTGATAAGGAGACGTTGAAGCTCCTCCTCCCGCTCCGATACGACGGGAAATCGGTGATCGAATGCAACCGCTTCATCTCGCAGTTGCTCATCTACTGGACGATCAACACGGCCCTCTCTTCCCTCGAGCTAAAGATCCAGGTTGCCCTCAGTCTCCTTGATGGTGACGCGCGAGCTTGGGCCACCCCCATCTTCTCCCAGCTTGCCTCCGTCCAAATCGGGATCCAGGGAGCGACAACCCCCTTCGTCGACGAAAAGGCCTTCCTTCAGGCATTCAAGGCCCGCTTTGGCAATCTCGACGACGCCGCTGCGGCACAGGTGGAGCTTACCAAGCTCTGCTCCGACAAAACCATGCGCGAGAAGCGCACCGCCGCAGAATTCTCTGCGCTGTTCAAGGGTCCGGCGGACCGTTCTGGGTATGGGAACCTGGAACTGCGCGACAAGTACCTGAGCGGCATCCCTTCCCGCGTCTATCGCAAACTCGAGCTCGAAACCTTCGCCACGTGGCAAGCCGCTGACAAGCGCGCCACCGAGGTCGAGCAAATCCTCGATGTTAGCCGGGCTCGTCGGCCCGAGCTAAACAGCTTCTTCTCGGCGCGAGGTCGAGGACGCGGAGGGGCACGTGGTGGTGCACCCTCGTCACACGCAGCTTCGGCCAGCATCAACGCGGCCGTCGGAAAAGGAAACTTCCCCGGCACATGCTTCGGCTGTGGGAAGCAAGGGTACCGACGTTTCGAGTGCCCCAACTGTAAGGACAAGCCTTACACAAAACGCGCCGACGCGCGGGCTACGGTTGCCTCGGGCTCCACCCAGGCTGCGACAAGCGCCCCCGTCGCTTCACCCTCGGCAAGTATAAGTGCCGCTTCAGCAAAGTCCGAGCAATCGGAGCTGGCGGACTTAATGGCACAGGTGAAGTCGATGCGCGAGGAGCTCGAGCATTATCGGGCGTTGAAGGAGGAGGGTTTTTGATCCGGTCCACGCTTCGTGCCGCACGCGTCGGGCCGCGAGTATCATGTAACAAGTACGATGTATTGTCTTCTGCAATGGTGTACGAGTTGGACCAGGGGTCCCAGCACTTTCACATTCCAGTAAGACTCCAAGGGAAAAGACGGCACAAGGACATAATCGCTATGGTGGACAGCGGAGCCACCACGAAGTTTATCAACAAGCGATTCATTACCGAAAACAAGGTGCAGACGCGGAAGTTGAAGGAACCAATTCCGCTGTATAATATTGATGGCACCCTAAATAAGGACGGAAGCATCTCGGAAGTAGCAGTACTACAGATGCAAATAGGAGAACACGTCGAGAAGACGGTGTTCACGGTCACGGACATCGGTCCAGAAGATGTGATCGTCGGGTTGGATTGGCTACGCGAGCACAACCCCGAAATAGATTGGGAGAAGGGCTCCCTCAAATTGTCGCGATGCCCTGAAACGTGCAGCGCCAGGAGGACTGGCCGAATGGAGCAAGCAGCGACTGCGCGTGATACGGGGGACAGGCCCACGGCGCGCAGGCGTTCGCCGAAATCCAAACGGTCGGTTATAGGCGCCTGCCGGAGTAAGGTACTCCCGGACTTCGAACCCGAAGAAGATCCGGTAGAGGTAGAGTGGGATGAGGCTGATTTGATCGAAGCCTGGGAGCAAGGCATCATGCTTCCCGGCGCTCCTCAGCTGTTCGTTGCAGCAGGGCACACGTATTCCCAGCTGTTCGCTGAAGAGGAGATCAGAAAGAAGGTCGTTAAGACCGCCGAGGAGTCGGTACCTAAACAGTACCACGAGTTCCTGAATGTCTTCTCCAAGGAAGCATCAGAACGGCTACCCGAAAGGAAGCCTTATGATCACGCGATCGAACTCGTACCCGGCTATTCGACATTCCACTCGAAGGTGTATCCCCTGTCGAACAACGAACAAGAGGAACTGGACAAGTTCCTAAAGGAGCAACTAGCGAAGGGCTACATACGAGAGTCGAAATCGCCCATTTCGTCGCCTTTCTTCTTCATCAAAAAGAAGGAAGGGACGCTTCGGCCCGTACAGGACTACCGCCGCTTGAACGCTATCACGGTCAAAAATCGCTACCCTTTGCCGCTGATCGCCGAGATGGTAGATAAGCTCCGCGGCGCCACGCTCTTCACCAAGTTCGATGTCCGATGGGGATACAACAACGTCCGGATCAAAGCCGGTGATGAATGGAAGGCGGCCTTTGTGACCAACCGAGGATTGTACGAGCCCTTGGTGATGTTCTTCGGCCTCACCAACTCCCCCGCGACCTTCCAGGCGATGATGAACGAGATCTTCCACGATCTCATCGTCGGTGGCAAGATCCTCGTATACCTTGATGACATACTCATCTTCTCTACCAACAAGGAGGAGCATGAAAAAGTCACACGCGAGGTTCTTCGTCGCCTTCAGGACAACGATCTGTTCCTGAAGCCTGAGAAATGCGAGTGGGACGTTCCCAAGGTCGACTATGTCGGCTATGTGTTCGGTGGCGATGAGGTAGCGATGGATCCCGCGAAGCTGAAAGGAATTAATGAGTGGCCGGTACCCCGGAACAAAAAAGATGTCCAGAAGTTCCGGGGGTTCTCCAACTTCTACCGCCGCTTTATTAAGGACTTTGCTAAGATCTCGCGACCACTCGACCGACTCACAGGGAACGACCCATGGCATTGGGGCGAGGAAGAGCAGCACGCTTTCGATGAGCTCAAGCGGCTCTTCGCGACGACTCCAGTCTTGGCGCTGTACGACCCTAATCGAGAGACGCGCATTGAGGTTGATGCCTCGGGTTACGCCACTGGCGGCGTATTAATGCAGAAGC